CTTGACAGTAGATACAAGTATTCACATATACATACTAATTAATACACTGATTAAAAATTCTAAAGATTACAGTTGATTGAATTTTGTTTTTTATTTTTACAATTAGAATTTTAGAAATAACTGGCTTGCCAAGTTACTTTTATTGCTCACCTCATATTGGAAGTTTCATATGCATATTGTTTAGATTCAAGAAGAAATACAAATTATTTTGAACTGACAGCTGTGTTGTAGGTTGGTGAATGCACTATTTATTAGCAAAACCACAGCATAAATAAGCCTAAAGGAAAGTATGAAAAATTCTATGGGACTTTAGCCAAAGAGGTTTTACCAGGAGAAGAGGAATGAAGTGAGGTTAAGGACACATTATTTTGCTGTAAGATTACATGTAGTTAACAATGAGTAGAAAAAAGTGGGGGAAAAAAGATCTTAAAACTTATGTAAATTATTATACTATATTTACTATTTCTCCGGATCAATCATTGGTCTGCAAATAAAGTGTATTGCTTGTGGGTGGATGGGTAAGATTTTTGAGGGGCGATTTATTTTGATCTTGGTCTCCTAAATTAATCATGTACGTATCCTCTCCTATCTTTTCAGAGCTGCTGTGATAGATACAACTAGTATTTCACGCATATTAACTCTGACATGAAGGTTTTTATCCCCCCTTTGTATAAAAACCGTCATTGTGAATTTAACCTCATATTATATATTTTGTAAAAAGAAGTTACTTTTTCTAAAGAATTTTTTTTTTTATTTATTCATTTGAGACAGAGAGATACAGAGAGAGAGAGAGTGAGTAGGAGCAGTGGGGAGAGGCAGAGGGAGAGGGAGAAGCACAGTCCCCGCTGAGTAGGGAGCCTGATGCGGGGCACTATCCCAGGACCTGGAGATCATGACCTGAGCCGAAGGCAGACACTTAACGACTGAGCCACCCAGGCACCCCAAGAAGTTACTTCTTCTAAGTTTAATTTCAATCATTGTATTTCAACATTTCAGAAAAATAATATCTAATTTAGCTATTCTTTCTCATTCTATATTTTATATTCTACCCTTATGCTTAGGTTTATTCCTTAGGCATTCAAATAGCTGAGGAAGCTCCTATTTTAAAAATATATATATATCAGACACACACAAACACACACGCATACATACATACACACCTTTTGATGCTTTGTAGTTCTCTTCTTCACAGCCATATTTTTTTAAAGTGTAATTTACACTCTCTTTCCACCTCCTTACTTGCCACTCCTTCCTTGACCCAGGATAATCCTTTTCCCTTCCTATCATATGAATAAAATTGTTCTCATTAAGGTAAGTGATGACTTTGTTGTTGCTATGGCCAACGGATTCTTCTTTATTTTTACTCAGAGCAGTATTTAACAATTTGATAATTTCTTTCTTAAATCAATTTATTCTGCTTTAGCAGGCTTGTCTAATGTACCTCCTGTCTTTGTGGTTGCAGTTTCCTTTAACCCCTTTGAAGCTGTTACAGGCATCTCAAGAGTGGTATATCTTTGGTGCCTTCTCCATCTCCTCTATGTACTGTCCTGGAAGATTAAACGAATTTGCTTGACTTCAATCACCATCACTGATGTCATGGTGCCTCCCACATACATGCTCTAACCCAGACCCATACATCCAAATGCTTTCTGGATATTACTTCTTGAATGTCTCACAGTCACCTCAGATTAACATGTTCCAAACTGAACTTTTCACCTTCTCCTTACTCCTCCACCTACCAAATGACTCTTCTATGTTCTCAACCTCTGCAAATAACGTTCACATCTGGTGTTTCCAAAGCCAGAAATAGACATAATTTTGACTGATGATTTTCTTTCATCTTCAGATCCAAATAATTAGCTAGTCTTGCCATTCTTATTCTTCATTTTCATTGCTACTATGTTACTCCCAACCACCATCACCTCTCATCTGGGTACTCTATCAATTTCCTAACTTATCCTATTAATTGCAGTCTTGTCCCCTCCAGCTAATTTTTACAGCAGAGTTGCACCACTCTTTAAAAACAAAAATCCAGGGGTGCCTGGGTGGCTCAGTCATTAAGTGTCTGCCTTTGGCTCAGGTCATGATTCCAGGGCCCTGGGATTGAGCCCCACATCGGGCTCCGGGCTCCGTGGGAAGCCTGCTTCTCCCTCTCCCACTCCCCCTGCTTGTGTTCCCTCTCTTCCTGTGTTTTTCTCTGTGTAATAAATAAATAAATAATCTTTAAAAAAATAAATAAATAAATAAAAACAAAAATCTGATGTCATTTTTTTAAATTAAAACTTGTTCATTGATTCTTATTTTATTTTTAATAGACTCCAGCGTGCTTGGCTGGCCCAGTAGGTGAAGCTTGTGACTCTTGAGCTCAGGGTTGTAGGTTAGAGACCCACACTGGTTGGAGATACTACTTAAAAATAAAGCCTTAAAAAAATAGAATCTGAATATAAGAGCATAGTTTGCAGGTTTCTTCATTATCTAGGCTCTGATTACATTACTGGTCTCATATCTTACCCCTTCCTACTTACACAGATAGGATAAATTCCTCTTATATATACACAGATATACGTTTCCACTGTAAGTATTAGCTGTATTAAATTGCTTTTAGATTCCTAAAGCACCATACCTATATCTCTATTTCCATTTTCACCTAACTATCATCTACTAACATTTAGACTCTCAATTAAGTGGCTTCTGCTTCTTAGAAGTATCCCTAATTCCTTCTGTCTGGGTCCGGAGTTTTTGTTTTATGTTCCTGAACATCTTTTCATAAGCCCTCTTGCAGACTAAACTATTGCTGGTTTTAATTGCCCATATTTTCCCACTAGACCATAAGCTCTATAACTATGGCTATCTTATTCATTACTCCATCCATGAACCAATCATAAATCCTGGGAGTGTCAGTACATCTCAATACATACTGATTGAATGGAAACATAATGCATAATTAAGCAATTGGACTTTTATTGTTAATGCATACAAATGAACTGTAAATAATCTTTTAAAAATATCATTGTATTTTATTTTATTTTAAAGGCAGTATGTGGGGCGCCTGGGTGGCTCAGTTGGTTAAGCCACTGCCTTCGGCTCAGGTCATGATCCTGGAGTCCCAGGATCGGGTCCCGCATCGGGTTCCCTGCTCAGCAGGGAGTCTGCTTCTCCCTCTGACCCTCCCCCCTCTCATGCTCTCTCTCTATCTCATTCTCTCTCAAATAAAAAAAAATCTTTAAAGGCCGTATGTGTTCATTGGGGAAAACTTGGTAAATCCAGATATCATGCTTAACGCTATATTTATCCCTAATTATAACCAATAAAAATAAGAGCAATTTTTGAAAATCCATCATTTTTAAATATATTTTTATACAATTCAGAAAATTACATATTTTTCTCTAAAGTTGCTTTTTTTATATTACTGTGTGCAAATTTATTTTATAATATACATGAATGTGATTTGGTTTCTTTGAGAATCAACAATACTGAAATGTTCATTTTTTCTGATATAGACTTACAAGTAATAAATTCAGTGAGACAAACCCTTTTTTAAAATGTGTCTATATGTTCAAAATATGTTTTAGCTATTCTTTGAAGAAGAAGAAGTTGGCTCTTCTAAAAATAGCTTCTCCAAAATTAGCTTATTAACTGCTAAGAAATTCCCAATTGGTAGCAATAGAGAATCATTGTTGTATACTTAAGCCCATTGGTCGGGACAGTTAGCAGTGATTTTTGTGGTAAAATGTAAGTGTTCAAGTGACATTATAAGATTCTCTTTAGTCTCATTGAATTTCTCTTTTAAATGGTTGGCCTCAGCACAGCAAATGTGTTTAAATCATCATTTGGGGCAGATAAAGCAGGAATCCCTAGGGTCAATAAGTCTCAAATTTAGAGTCTTTAAGAATTACCTGCATCATTTAAAAAATGTAGATTTCTGCACCCTATCCTCAGAGATTCCATACTAATATAGGTTTGTGGTAGGGCCCAGTAGTATTCGTTATAGCAAGTGCTTGTACTGATTTTGGTGTAGGAGATATCCGGACCATACTTTAAGAAATACTGACATGGGATTGGGGCCTAAACCATCTATGGACTTTCCATGAGTTCTCTGTAATTTTTAACCCTGTAACAATGTTATCCTCTTTTTTTTAAATAATATAAATATGAGTGTGAAAAATATAAACAAACTATTCTTTCATTTTTATTGAAAATGCATGTTTTACCTTTAGAAATATTATCTTATGTGTTCATATTTTTAATGTTCCTTTTACTTGAAATTTGTTAGTTTTTTTGTTGTTGTTCTTAAAGATTTTATTTATTTATTCGAGAGAGAAAGAGAGAGAGAGCATGAGCAGGGGGAGGGGCAGAAGGACAAGCAGACTCCTCATAGAGTGGGGAGACCAATGCTGGCCCATCCCAGGACCTCGGGATCACAACCTGAGCCGAAGTCAGATGCTTAACTGACTGAGCCACCCAGGTGCCCTGAAGAAGGTTAGTTTTTCAACCCACACTGCTTTTATAATCTGAGGCTTTCTCATATTAAAAAAAATTTTCCACTATACAGCTACTACCATAATTGGAGTTTCATGTAAAATGAAATGGGATTTTGACCATTGAATAAATGTAGCTAGTGTCTGTATCTGTCATTTTATTCCCACATGGCATTTTACTACTTATAGGCAGTTTGAATTGTAACATGCCACTTAGGTAAATTCAGATACCGTATTTATAAAGAGATTTATGTAAAACATATCTGGTTTTCTAGTATTACAATATAAAATTTTCTTAAATTTTGCTCTAATATTGCACTTTAAAATCCATTATGAATTGTAATTATAGACTATTGGTCTTCAGAATAGTCAAAAGCACACGTTTGAAAACATAAGCTTTATTTCTGGCCTCACCACTCATGTGACTTTGTTGAGATCTTTCTCCTTCCCTCAGGCTCCTTTACTTACCATCAATATACTAAACATTTATTGAGCATTTTCTTTCTTTTTTTTTTTTTTTAGATTTTATTTATTTGACAGAGAGACACAGCGAAAGAGGAAACACAAGCAGAGGTAGAGGGAAAGGGAGAAGCAGGCTTCCCGCGGAGCAGGGAGCCTGCCTGATGCGGGGCTCGATCCCAGGACCCTGGGATCATGACCTGAGCCAAAGGCAGATACTTAACAACTGAGCCACCCAGGTACCCAAGCATTTTCTTATTTATTGCCAATATCAGTGGGTTTAAAAATGAAAACAAAAAGACCCTTTGCCTTGTCTTCCTTTCAGAGTTTGCATGAAGATCAAATAAAGGAGCTTTATAAACTCTATTTCCACATCAGTACAAAATTTTATTTGTTGTGATTGCATTGATGAAGTACACAAAAATGGTTTTTCTACAAGTTGGTTTTGTAAACTTCCTAAATAAGATCACGTAATGGACAAATGTGCTTTAGATAATTACTTTCAAAGCTTTTAAAATTTCTCTGTAATAACAACCTTCTGTGTCACTGGTCTCCATAGTGTTCATCTTTGTTAAAATTGGTGCTTAAAACTAAATTTTCCGCAGGTCCAAACTAGAATATTTTATCTTGACAATGTATCTAGCTCCCTCCTGAGAATATGTCATTGTTAATAACTGCTTTATTCTCATTAAAATCTCCTGCTAATTTCCATTCAGTAATACACAGATTATTTTCCTTCAGTAGTCATTAGCCATTCCCTATAGGTATCTTATCATGAAATCAAAACAGATAAAGGTGATGAATAAATTTTAAAGCCTATTCATGGATGTTCTAATATGCATGTGTGTGTGTGTGTGCATGCACACTTGTGTATGTGTATTTGAGCAGAACCATGCATTTAAACAATAGCTGATATATAGAAACCTTATTTTCAAATGTGTAAATGTAATTAAATGTTCCTCTATCTATATAACATGAGATATCTGTTATCTCTTGTCTCTTTTAACTGAAACTGCCCTGACCATAGGTCTCTACTGATGGAACTCCAGATTGTTCTGTTGGCATATGTGGCCATGCTCTGAACCATGCTATGATCTTAGCTGTTTGGAACAGGCAAGGTGATATGACACAATAGAATCTAACCTATGCACTAGTACATGAGGATATAAGATGCCAAGTCAGTGATCAAGCAAAAAATATGGTGGTTACTCATTGGGAATTCAAAATGGAGACCCACGGTGAGGTGGGAGAAGGTCATCAAATTGATCACAGAGTGAAAATATACATTTTTTAAAAATCGGGAAGAGGCAGAAAGAAGCTGTGTGACCAAAATGGCAGAATATCACAATAGGTGTAAAACCAACTCATGCTTTGAAGCTGTTTTAAGAGGTCGTGCTTACTAAAGCCACAATGAATCTTGACTGAACCATTTCCCATTTTTCTTTCTGGTAAGCTTGACTACACTATAGTTACTGTGTATGGTTACTACACTGTAGTTACTTTTCTCAAGAGGCATAATTGAGCTTTTCCTGGTTTCTAGGAAGCCTCAACTCATGACTGAAATATTTGTTTTTCTTATTTCAACATATATCTGTATAATAGAACTCCCATTATTTGAGTTATTTGAAGTGCTTTAATGTCCTTTGGAACCAGAAGAGCCATTAAAAGCTTAGCTAACACAGATTCCTGGTGAGGAAAAAAGTATGATCAAATCTTTTCTCAATTGGAAACTATTTCTTTTGCTTTTCAGATTCATAAAGAAAAGGACCTCAAAGAAAAACGGTTATATAAAATAAAGGATTTATAATTGTGTGAATTTTATTTATTCTAATTCATCAATGATGTTCCATTAGCATCACTCATAGCTTTGGCAGTTTGGTTTTGAATAATACTAAATAGCTCTCTATGTCTGGACTGATTTGGATGACCTGGTTATTTTAAGAAGAACATTTAAGTAGATGGATTATAACACACGTTTATACACATGCACATGCTCACTCATTATGTATTCATTTGTGGCCAAACAAGTTTTTTTTTCTTCCCCTCCCCAGCACAATGTAACTTGATTGGTTAAAGACCAAAATAAATCTTAATTTATGATTTATCATTCTGCAATTGGTTATTGCAGTGGATGCTTTGATAGATTTCCTAAACTCCTTCCTTAAGATCATCCCCTAATAACTGGCAGTAACAGCAACTGACCACACACAGCTCAATCCCTCGAGAAGAACTGTGCTCAGCTATAAGGAACTGCTTTGCCAAAGGTGGCTAGGGGCAGCCCAAGGCCAATGAGTGCCTAATGAAGGGATACACCCTACCTCAAGCTGGGACAACTTCAAAGGCCCATCTCATCTCCAGAGTTCCCAAGAGGATTGACTGAGGTCTGAGATGCAACTGCATTCCAGGTTAGCTTGTATCCCTCTGCCCAGTCCCCTGTCATCACTTGTTTATATGTGTGTATACTACTAGAGGACCCCAGTAAGCCTTCCCCTTAATAGGGAACTTAAACTGATACAAAGAAAACTCAAGTCCTGCAGTTTACAAAAATATAAGATAAAGGACTTTTCCTCCTTGAGTTTTAAAAAGAATAATCTGAAAGAGCTCAAAAGTACAACCAAGAATACTTTCATCAGGTTTATGAAAACTTATCACTTTCAATACAATAAGTATTGTGAGATGGAAGTGACATTGTCCTCAATATCCAAGATGGAGAATTACTTCAGACCTTTCTAGGTGGAGTTGGCTGAGATTGCATGTATTTGAAAGTGCCAAATCTAGGGAGAAGTTTAATCTTTAAGCCATTTATAGCCAGGACTGTATATAATTCTTAGGTGAAACAGAAGATACATATTTTATATTTTTTATTATAAAAATGGAAATTCACAACCAGGAGGCATGTCCGTTATGTATTGATGTATTGTTATTGAGAACAGCAAGTTGCATATATATAGTACAGTTTTTATAAATGCAAACGACACCAAAATACTTTAGATGCTTGTGTATTTATTTGTATATATTTGAGGGTGAAGAAGTTTATTTAACAGGCATTAACTATCATAAGGTGAAACTAGTAGAAGGGAGAGTTAGCAGGAATGCGAATACAGTCCTTTAAATGGTTTAAAAGAACCACTATTCTATATTACTCTAGTGTTTTTTTCCTGGTTGAGCTTAAGAGGTATGAGGTTTGTAATTTTGGAAGAGGCATTTAAGATTTAAAGTGAAACAGAACAATGCCTTTAATCTAAAAAAGAGACTACATAAAACTATTCAAAATAAAAATTTTGTTCATTGTAATGTGATACCAGCTAATGTTTATATTACTGAAAGGATGCCTCTAAGATTGCAGTGGAATTGACTGTAAACAAAAGCAGTAGTTTCAAAGAACTGTGGCCAGCATAAACAAAATCGGGTTATAATTGATGACAGAATTTTAAAATTTTTCTTTCCTAAGATGGTGCCTATATCACCAATGACTATTAAGCTAGTTATTTTTCTTATTTCTCTCTTCAAAACCATTTTTAAAAAAGTAGCATAGATAGAGCATGTTATGTTTAAAAGCCCTCGAAACTCCCCATAACTTTCAGGGTAAAACCCAGACTCATTAAAATGGAATGTAGGTCTCATATATCCTTTCTGCTTCCTCTTTAACTTCATCCTCCCCTCCTCCCGCTCACATGCTTTACTTCAGCCCTCAGATCATGAGAGGACTTCAAGGGTATCTGCCTCTATGTCTTTGTCCATTTTGCTTCCTTATGCTAGGAAGTTCTCTCCACCAAGTTCCACTTTCCCAGATCAGTTTTATTCCCCCTTTACTAGTAAAGCAAGATGTCTTCTCTAGGTGGTATTTTCGTGCCTCCAAACGTTAGCCTGGATTAGGTGCCTTCCCAGCACATCCCCACATATCTCAGGGTTTTTCTTTTCCATGGCATTCATCCCAGTGAATTCCTTTTTTTAGCTTTATTGAAGTTTAATTGATATACAATAAACTGCATATTTTAAATTGTATAATTTAATGAGCTTTGACATATGTATAGAGCCATGAAACCATCACCACAAATCAAGATAATGAACTTTTTCTGTCACCCACAAAAATTTCTTCTTGTCCCTTTGTATTTCCTCCTATCCCTCTCCACCCTCCCTGTGCATCCCCAGGGTACTACTGATCTGCTTTCTATCATGATAGATTAGTTTGGATTGTCTAGAATTTTATATAAATGGAACCATACAATGTCCTCTTTTATCCTGGCTTTTTTCACTCAGCATGATTATTTTGGGATTCATCAATGTTGTTGCATGTATCAATAGTTTATTTGTTTTTTTTTTTTCTGAGTTTCTTTGGTTATACCAAAATTTTTTATCCATTCACCTGATAGACATTTGTGTGGTTTCCAGTTTGGGGCTATTACCAAAAAAGGTGTTATGCATATTTTTGTATGTCTTTCTGTGGACATATACTTTTATTTTTCCTGTGTAAATACCTAGGAGTGTGTATTACTTTCTAGGGCTGCTATAATAAAATACTACATATTGGGTGGTTTAAAATAATAGGAATTGATTCTCCCACAGTTCTGGAGGCTAGAAGTCCAAAATCAAGGTGTTAGCAGAGGTTGTAGGGAAGAATTCTTCTTTGCCTCCTCTTGATTCTGGGATTTCTTGGCATTCTTTGGCATTTTTGGTATTCCTTGATTTGCAGATGGATCTCTCCATCTACGTATAGTTTTGACTTCTGTGTGTTTCTGTCTCTGTGTCTAGATTTCCCTCTTTTTATAAGAACACCAGTCCTATTAGATTTAGGGCCTGATTTAATCAAGTAGGGTCTTAACTAGAGTATATCTGCAAAGACCCTATTTCCAAGTAAGGACATATTTATAGGTTCTGAGTGGATGTGAGTTTTTTTATTTTTTTAATTTAAATTCAATTAATTAACATATAATATATTAATTGTTTCAGAGGTCGAGGTCAGTGATTCATCAGTCTTAGGTAATACCCAGTGCTCATTACATCACATGTGGATGTGAATTTTGAGGGGATACTATTCCACCCAGTACAGAGCCTAACATTTCTTTGGACAATATTAATCTTTCCTGTGTAGATATGTTTTGAAAAAATATTCTCCTAGGAAGGGCTTGCCTTTTCATTTTTACATCAATGCCTTTTGAAGAGCAAAGTTTTCAACTGTGATAGTTTGTCCTTTTGTATTGTGTTTAAGAAACATATCAAGATCAAAAAAAAAGGGGCGCCTGGGTGGTTCAGTTGGTTAAGTGACTGCTTTCGGCTCAGGTCATGATCCTGGAGTCCCTGGATCGAGTCCCGCATCGGGCTCCCTGCTCGGCGGGGAGTCTGCTTCTCCCTCTGACCCTCCCCCCTCTCATGGGCTCTCTCTCTCATTCTCTCTGTCTCAAATAAATAAATAAAATCTTTAAAAAAATAATCCAAAAAAAAAAAGAAACATATCAAGATCATTGAGATTTTTCTCTAATGATTTCTTCCAGAAGTTTTCCAGATTTGAGTCTATGAACTGTTTCAAGTTAATTTTTGTCTATATTGTGAGGTAATAATAAAGGCTTGTTTTTGTTTATTTTGTAATAGTCATACAATTGTTTAGGACCATTTGTTAAAAATATTATTTTTTTCCCTGTTGAATTGTCTTGGTATTAAAAAAATAAATTAAATGTATTTATAGGTCTAATTCTAGACTCGATTCTGTTCTGTCATTGATCTATTTTTTAAATCTTTATGCCAAAACCACACTACCTTGATTATCCTAATTTTATAAGGAGTCTTAAAATTAGATAATAAATCTTCTAATTTTATTTTTTATAAAAGTTGTTTTTATTAGTTCTGGATCCCTTGCAATTCTATATAAATATTAGAATTTACTTGTCAATTCCTACAAAAATGCTGGCTGGGGCTTTGATTGAGATTTCATTAAATCTATAGAATAATTAGGGGAGAACTGTATCTTGACAACATTGAGTCTTCCAAGATACACATTTATTTGTTTTTTCTTTTTTAAGATTTTATTTATTTATTTGCCAGAAAGAGAGAGAAAGAGAACACAAGCAGTGGGAGTAGCAAGCAGAGGGAGAAGCAGGTTCCCCACTGAGTAAGGAGCCCAATGTGGGACTTGATCCCAGGAATCTGGGATCATGACCTGAACCAACGGCAGACGCATAACAGGCTGAGACACTCAGGTGCCCGTATTTGGGTTTTTAATTTCTCAGCAATGGTTTTTAGTTTTCAGTATAGATATATTGTATACATATTTATCAGGTTTATCCCTATTTCATATTTTTGATGCTACAGTTGACCCTTGAATAACATAAGTTTGAACTGTATGGGTCCACCTATACGTGGATTTTTTTTTCATAAACACAATGCAGTACTGTAAATGTAGTTACTCTTCCTTATGACTTTCTCAATAACATTTTTTCTCTAGCTTACCTTATTTTAAGACTTCAGTATATGATATATATAACATACAAAATATGTTAATTGGTGGTTTATGGTATCAATAAAGCTTCCAGTCAACAGTAGGCTATTAGTAGTTAAGTTTTGAGGGATTCAAAAGTTACATGTAGATTTTCAACTACACAAGGGGTTGGTGCCTTTAACCCCTATGTTGTTCAAGAGTCAACTATATTTTATATAATATTATTTTTAATCTCTATTTTGAATGGGTTTTTGCTAGTATAAAGAAAAAGTAATTGATTAATGTATACTGATATAGTATCATTCAACATAAACTCATTTTTTAGGTTTAGTAGATGTTTTTATAGCTCCCACAGGATTTTCTACGTAGATGACACTGTTGTCTATAAATAGAGTTTTTCTTCCTCTTCTACACTTCCAATGCATATTTTCCCCCACTTTGCCCTTTCTCTTGCCTTACTGCACTAGCTAACACCTCTAGTGTGATGTCAAATGGAAGTATGAGAAGAGACATCCTTCCTTTGTTAGTGCTCTTAGGAAAAAAAAAAAAGTATTTTACCATTAAATGTGATGTTAGCTGTTGAGTTTTCATAGATGCCCTTAATCAGGCTCCTCCACAGGTTTAGGGAACTCTTTCTCTGTGCATCTTTCCTCTTTGGTACCCTTCTCATGACATCTAACTGCATTAGCTTCCCCAGATTACCATTTTGTTCTTTTCCCATCATGGAGGTTAATAGTGCCTACCTATGTCCCTCCTTGTGTTCCAGCCTGGAAACTCTAAAGTCTCTAAATTCACTACCTTTGTTTCACCTCCTTCAGGGATCATTTTCTTGTGCTGTCTTACATCCAAATGAAATCTATTATTTTGTATATTTTGTCTGGTGTTTCAATTGTTTTAAGCAGAAGGGTAAATTCTGTATTTGTTACTTAATCTAGATATGAGTTCTAATATCTTCTCAATTATAAATAAAATTCTCTTTTATTAAATTATATGATCCTTAAGGATAGGTACTATGACTTTTATGTTTTTATTTTTAGCATCTGGCACAATTCACTGCATACAATAAGGATCACTTATGCTTGCTAAATGAATGAATACATGATTATTGAACAAATGCATTGCACAGGTCTTTTATTATTGTTAATACAGTGATGATGCTGAGAATATACCTATGACTAGGTACTCAGACTCTAAGTACTCTAACATTTTTTTTTTTCAATTATGGTTGTTAATTCCAACTACCACTAGAGTATATCAAGTCTGGCCAGCACAGGTATTTTAGGGTTCTTAGATATTTCTGTATTAGTGTATCTATCCCAGTAGTGCTACCTAGTAATGTGAACCAAGGCATATAACAGTCCCAACTGGGGAATCTTTATTGTGTTGCCAACTTTTATATTCATGGGAGATTTCACACAGAATAACATAAGCCAATCAGAAGAAGGCACATTTACCAATAAATAACTCCTGAAAGCAGGATTATAAGAAGTACATATAATAGGAGCCCTAAGGTTCCTAAAACACAAGTGTTCAAGAAAAATTAGTGTTTTTCTAGATATCTATATCTATATAGATATAGATATAGATATTCAGTGTAATGTGCTTTTTTTGAACTAATTATCAGGATACTTATAAAAAGTGGTAAATAAAATAACAGATGTGGAGGAGAGGAAACCCTCATACACTATGGGTAAGAATCTAAGTAGGTGCAGCCACTACAGAAAATAGTATGGAGATTCCTCAAAAAATTAAAAATAGAACTACCATACAATCCAGCAATGCCATTTCTGGATAATTTGCATGAAGGAAAAAATACCCACACCAATCCAAAGAGATCCATTCACCCCTAAGTTCACTGCAGCATTATTTACGAAAACCAAGGCATGGAAGCAAACAAAGTGTCCACCAGTAAATGAATAGATAAAGAAAATATAGCCAATATACACAATGGAATATTCCTCAGCCATAAAAAAGAATATAATCTTACCATTTGCAACAACAGAGATGGACTTAGATGGTATTATGCTAAGTGAAATAAGTCAGAAAGGAAAAAAAAAACACAATTTCACTTATATGTCAATCTTCAAAACAAAACAAATAAGACAAGATAGAAATTGACTCATAGATATAGGAAACAAACTGTTGGTTACCAGAGGGAGGTAGGATGAGGTGGGGCAAAATAGGTAAATGGGATTAAGAGGTACAAACTTCAGTTATAAGACAAACAAGTCATGGGGATATAATGTACAGCATAGGAAATACAGTTAATAATATTATAATAACTTGGTATAGTGATAGATGGTAACTAGATTTATCATGGGGCACATTTCATAATATATAAAAACATAGAATTGTAATGAATATACCTGAAACTAATAAGATATTGTATGTCAACCATACTTCAGTAAAAAAATATAATAATAACAGAGATTGAGGACCAATCAGTATAGTTTTACTATTGTGAGTGTGTGTTTTTTTTAGAGAGTGCACATGCACACACACACACACATGCACAAACGAGTGGGGTGAGGGAGAGGCAGAGACAGAGGGAGAGAGCGAATCTTAAGTAGGCTCCCCACCCAGCTCAGAGCCCAATGTGGAGCTTGAGCTCACGATCCTGAGATAATGACCTGAGCTGAAATCAGGAGTCAGATGCTCACCCAGGTGTCCCTGTCATTGTGTTTTTTTACAACTCCTAACATGTAAGGAAGGATCAATGAGTCATAAATATTTGTAATTATTTATAAATTAGCATACTTACATTAGAATAAAAATTTGAACAGAAAAATAATTTAGAAGCTGCACACTTTCTATTTATTTTTTTATTCTTATGTTAATCCCCATACATTACATCATTAGTTTTAGATGAAGTGTTCCATGATTCATTGTTTGTGCATAACACGCAGTGCTCCATGCAGAATGTGCCCTCCTCAATACCCACCACCAGGCTAACCCATCCTCCCACCCCCCTCCCCTCTAGAACCCTCAGTTTGTTTTTCAGAGTCCATCGTCTCTCATGGTTCATCTACCCCTCTGATTTCCCCCGCTTCATTCTTCCCCTCCCGCTACCTTCTTCTTCTTTTTTTTCCCTTAACATATATTGCATTATTTGTTTCAGAGGTACAGATCTGAGATTCCACAGTCCTGCACAATTCACAGCGCTTACCAGAGCACATACGCTCCCCAGTGTCTATCACCCAGTCACCCCATCCCTCCCACCCCACCCCCCACTCCAGCAACCCTCAGTTTGTTTCCTGCAATTAAGAATTCCTCATATCAGTGAGGTCATATGATACATGTCTTTCTCTGTTTGACTTATTTCACTCAACATAATACCCTCCAGTTCCATCCACGTCGTTGCAATTGGCAAGATCTCATTCCTTTTGATGGCTGCATAATATTCCATTTAGAAGCTGCACACTTTCAACAGCTTTAACTTTAAAATATTAATATATAAAAACTTAGTTCTAAATTTCTTAAAAATATTTTAAAATATTTTCTTAATTTTTTTTTAAAACAACATCAACAATAAAGTATTGTTCAGGGGTTAGGAGGCTAAACACACTATTGATATTTAGTAAGATTATCTCAGCCATTTTTGAAAACTAAAATCAATTTTGAAAAAAAATTACTATCATTTTCAATAATAATAGAAATGCTTCAGAAAAAAAATATGAGAATTTTATTTTGTTTGCTATATATTTCAGGTGTACTTACAAACTATTTTGTATAAAGAATTTGGCACTTGGTTAATCAGAAATTTAAAAATTCGATTTAATATTTTTATTTTTATTTATTTATTTTTCCTTTCAGTGGATCCTTTATTAAATCACACAATTGTATTTCAACTAATATAAATCATAGAGGCCACCTAATACAAGGGATAGTGCTGATCACATTAAAATCAATCAGTTTAAAATACATTGTACACATATCAAGACTGCATAACTTATTTTGTGAACTGCACATATGTTTCTGCAAAGAAAGCAATACTGACAATATGTGCAACGTGGTAACGATTCATTACATATGTGCAATCTGTAAACTATCCTTTAATCTCCAAGCTTCACAGTAAATAAGTTTAAACTATCCTTTAAGCTCCAAGCTTCACAGTAAATAAGTTTAAGATAAACATATCTTTACTTAAGATAAATCTTATATTTAAGATAAAAACACTTTGTTCTCAAAGTTTCATCCTGTTTCACTCTCTGTAATTTTTTTTTTCCTTTAAAATGTAGAGACCACCATTCTACTTTCTGTTTCAAGGAGTTTGCCTATTTTATATACGTCAAATATAGAAAGGAG